CAATTTTGACATTTTGATCCATTCTTTTTGCTCCAAAGCCTGATTTGATCTCTTTCTTCACTTGTGATCATCAATTTGAAATATTTTCTTCTATTTGGCCATGATATGCTTGGAAAAACTAAATTTAATTTTGAACAATCTTTTTATTAACAAATTTGTAAAATGACTTTTTATCATAAAAATTTATTTGAAATTCTTGATTTATTTTTGTTTACATACAAGAACGTTGAAATATAAGGTATAAAATAAGACCAAAAAATTGGACTTATCAGTCGTCCACCTACAAGGAAGCAATTTCAGGAACTGAGTTAGCATAGTGGTTGGCTGCAATGGGGGATGAGATGGAGTCTCTTCACAAGAATCAGACCTGAGAGTTGGTCAAATTGCCGACAGACAGAAAGATAATCACTTGCAAATGGATTTTCAAGAAGAAGGAAGGAATATCACCGACCGAGGGTATAAGGTATAAGGCACGGGTAGTTGCAAGGGGGTTCCATCAGATAGAGGGAGTAGACTACAACGAGATTTTCTCGCCGGTGGTCAGACATACTTCTATCAGGGTGCTACTAGCAATAGTTGCATATCAGGATTTGGAGCTTGAGTAACTAGACGTGAAGACTGCTTTTATACATGGAGAGTTAGAAGAGGAGATATACATAACTCAGCCAAATGGTTTCCAATTTCTGGGAAAGGAGAATCATGTGTGGAAGTTGAGGAAGTCCTTATATGGGCTTAAGCAGTCTCCAAGGCAGTGGTATAAGAGATTTGACAGCTATATGATGCAACTCAGCTACAATAGGAGTCTTTTGACTGTTGTGTGTACTACAACAAGTTGAAAGATGGTTCTCGCATTTATCTAGTCTTATATGTAGATGATATGTTGATTGCTGCTCGGGCCAAGTCTGATATTCAGAAGCTGAAGGATCTTCTCAGTGCGGAATTCGAAATGAAAGATTTGGGTTCTGCTCGAAAAATTTTGGGAATGGAAATCTATAGGGAAAGAAATCAGAAGAAACTTTTCTTGTAACAAGAAGGTTACATTAAGAAGATATTGTCCAGGTTCGGCATGTCATCAGCTAAACCTATAGACACTCCAATGGCTACTAACAACAAGCTTTCTTGTAATGTACGCGCCTTAATCCGAGGAAGAAAAGGAGTACATGTCTCGAGTTCTGTATGCAAGTGCAGTAGGAAGTCTGATGTATGCTATGGTCTGTACCCGACCAGATTTAGCATATGCTGTTAGTGTTGTTAGTCGGTTTATGGCTAAACTGGGAAAGGAGCACTGGCAGGTTGTGAAAAGAATTTTTCGGTATCTTAGAGGTACGTCAGATGTTGGTCTCATTTATGGAAGTGATACACAGTGTTTGGTAACCGGCTACTCAGATTCTGATTATGCCGGGGATGTGGACAGTAGGAGATCCATGACTGGTTATGTTTTCACTCTTGGTGATTCTGTGGTGAGTTGGAAGGCAACTCTACAAGCTATAGTGACTTTGTCTACTACGGAGGCAGAGTACATGGCGTTGACAGAAGCGGCCAAGGAGGGAATTTGGTTAAAAGGACTCATCAATGATCTTGGTGTACATCAAGATCAGGCTATAGTGTATTGTGACAATTTGAGTGCAATATGCTTAGCCAAAGATCAAGTTCATCATTAAAGGACTAAGCACATTGATATAAGGTATTATTTTCTGAGAAGTGAGAAAAGAATCAGGGTGAAGAAAGTGGGCACGGCTGACAATCCTGCCGACATGTTCACTAAGCTTGTTCCATAGAGCAAGTTCCAACTTTGTTTGGACTTGCTAAATATCACAAGTTGTTAAATGGTAGAAGAGAAGAGAGCGGATACATATGGCGCTAAGGAGGTGCATCTAGTAATTTGTGAGAGAATTCAAGTCAAGGTGGAGACTTGTTGGAATGTCTTGAATTCTAACCTATTTGACTAGTCAACAATGGCTGCACCTGGCTAGAAAGTGGCTGGAAACCAGCTAGAAAGTGGCTGCAAATTAAAGGAGGCCTAGACAATTGGGCAAGTGGGTTGCTAGTTGGTGAGGTGGCCCAGCTGTATGACAGCAGTATTGTGGGCTGTCAACAACTCAGATCCCACTTGATTTAGGCAGCCAAGTTGGCTGCCATCTTTCCTATAAATAGGTTCATTTGTAAGGCATTCAAACATAGATCAGTCATCTAGAAAACCCCTCTGTAATCTCTCTCCTCAATTAGTAAAAGCTCTCCTCTCTTCTGTTAGGTGGATGTAGCCAACATATTGTTGGTGAACCACGTTAAATCTGAGTATGTTTGTTCTTTTGTTTTCTTTATTGTTTGTTATCTTTCTTACATCCGTCATAACAGTTTAGAATGTTAGATTTAATTGAGTTTGTTTAGAAATAACCGAATGAGTAATGAGCTAATGTTTGGATCCATTAGTATAGCGTCAGTTTGTGTGTTTAACATATTTAATCAATTAAACAAACACTTGGGG